TAAGCACAGGGACAACTTCACCATCAAGAGGAGGTGAGTGGTCAGCTTCACGCCTCTGCCGCTTTGTCACCAGGGAACAGCCACAGGTAGCCATCGTATAGGAGTTTGGGTGGGCTGTAATGTCGGTTTATACGCTGTGGATTAGAGGAAAATCTCTTGCCCGTGTCTGGAATCGAACCCCAATTCATTGGTCGTCCAGCCCCTAAAGTCTCTATTATGAGCTATCTCTATTATCGGAGATCTAGGCAGAGACTGAAGGATAATATTATACAGGATTTAAGATATATTTAGTATCAAGGTCTGAATTGGATTCAACTGGTTCAGGTAAGTCCCAATGGCTGGGCTGTTGTGAACACGACAATGAACAGTCGGATTGCGTAGATACAGGAAGTTTTAGACCAGCTGAGTACCTATCTTCATTTTCACAGATGAATTCGTGCTATGAAGTCACTGAATCTTCCTTAAATTTTACTCTTTAGTGAAGAGTACCATCTTCATGGATGTGACGCCGTGTAATCCACCGATATTGTGCAAGAAGAGAGTACTTTTTGTAGTGACCGATGTGAAAACCTCAGATCTCACTCTGCTTGTTACTTATTTGGCTTACTCTTCGACCCTAAAGTTGGAGACAGTATGTTTTTCCGAAACGTCCGTTGACTTCCGCTGGACTAAACGGCGTTATATCCCAGAAGATAAAAATTCCTGCAAGACCATTTCTCTTTTCTTATAAAAACAATTGCGTGGCTTTAGTCCGTAAGCGAACTATACCGACCGAGCGACCGCCGCTTGTCGGCGAAGTTAGTGCCAACTTTTGCGGATAGAGGGTGTCACGTAGTCAGCGCAACGGATCCCCGCGGCTTTTAATTTCGGTTTTCTACACCGGAGCCGCTAATTTCTTGAAATATCTCCTCGGTTATCCTCACGAGGCTGAGTGGACCCCGTTTCAGACCTACAACTTCTCAGAAAATCTGGTAGCGCCGGGAATCGAACCCGGACCTCTGGATCTGTAGCTAGGAACTCTGACCACTAGACCACAGAGTCGGTCCCTCTTTTCTTAAGAAATGTGAAAACAAAAATCGACGTTTCGTACTCATTTTCTCTCCAACAGTGAGCATGTGACTAAACACGTGACACGTACCATTTCTGGGAGCCTGTCTGCTTGCAGAACCCACCGACTACAAATGCTCACAAACACACGCTCTACAAGAAGCATGATTTACAGACGTTGCGGCAGTACCATAGCTCAGGCACTTAGGCGCCTGCTTCATACCAAGGCGGCCTGAGTTCGAACTCAGGTCAAAGTCACGTGGGAATTGTGATGGACAAAGTGGCACTGGGGTGTATTCTCTCCGAGTAATTCGGTTTCCCCTATCAATTCTCATTCCACCAACTGCTCAACATTCAGTAATCATCCAGTCATCAACGACACACAGTCTCAATACTGAGTAACTAACCTCATGGAGCCGAGCCCTCCTTGAGAAGCCGCCAATTGTGCAGCTACTCAAGAATTTACAAACACTTCATGGAACCCGAAAGTTCATTACCGTGCTCACAAGAACCCTCCACTAGACCTTATCCTGAGCCAGATGAATCCAGTCCATTCCACCACATTATTTTTCTCTAAGATCCGTTTTAATATTATCCTCCCACCGACGTCTATATCTTGCTGCTGGTCTATTCTCTTCTGGCTTTCCTACCAAAACCACATATGCATTCCCCTTCTCATTCGTGCTACATATCCTGCCCAGCTTTTCTTCCTTGAACATTCTAATTATGTTCGCAGAAGTGTACAAGTTATGAAGCTCCTCATTATGTAGTTTCCTCCATCTTCCTACATTTCATCCTTCTTCGGTCCATATTTTCTCTCTACCACCCTGTTCTCAACCACCCTCAATTTGTGTTCCTCCCTTAACATCAGAGACCACATTTCACATCCATAAAGAACTATAGGCAGAATTACAGTAGGGTAGACATGGATGATATCTCCACCTTATCGCTGCGGTGGGGTTGAGTGCTCCTGAGACTATGAGAGCTCTGCCGGCGGTAGCGTAGCTACTGGTAGGGTCACCCATGCCGGACAGATCGAGGGGTAGGAGCCAGACGAAGAGTGACAGCCTGGTCCTCCGGGTTGGGGGTTGGGCGTGAGGCTAACAGCATCACACCTTAAAACTATTTTGTTCAGAAACCAGATGATCAGCCTCGGGTGGATGGAGAAGAATGGAGGCAGAGTGTTCAGGAGGGTAAAGCTCGCCCTGAGGAAGGAAGAAATTAGATAACCAACCTTACTAGGAAGCGTGTCAGTGGATACTCAGCTGTACAGCTGAGCCAGTAACGGGGCGACACGGTTACCCAGTGGAATCCGGTCAAACCAACGGATGTGACGTATATTCGGAAGCGATGGACGATATAACGAGCCTAGATTCTTCTTACACACGCGTCACGATTCTCGTGACTAAATCAGGCGGTCGTAGAACAGGCGCAGTTGTTTCCTACACCTGTAAGTTGGGTGACGTATATCAACAGCGAGGGTTAAATAAGGGACGGCAAGCCTAATGTAGCCTATAAACAGGGTCACTGTGCCCCCCACTCGGAGGCGACACATTACGATCCATGCGGTAGCCATGCTGTGTCCCCCCCCTGTTAAATGTCTCAATGCCTGAACCAATTTATATGAAACTTGGTATGTATATCACGGCACCTGAGCCCATCTCAACGTTGAGATCCCTCTATCTGTGTGTCTATTCATCCCATCGTTGCTAGGAAAAGGCTCGGTAAACACGTTCCCGCGGCAACAAATACACTCAACAGTAGGAGAACAGTTGGACGCTTGTATTTGTGGATATGTCTGTGTATCCTATCGTTGCTAGGTAACAACTTAGTGAAAACGTTCCTGCGGCAACGAACAAATGTTGCAGGCGTCGTTTTCTATTAGGTCCATTCTTGTTTTGGGCTACTCTTTTTGGTGTACTATTAAAAGGAAATTCTTTTTTGATGTTATAGTGTTCGTATCTACTTCCGAGGTTTATTTCCCACCCTTTAAGAATTCTTAAGGTTAAGATTCCATCTCATGCCTTCTTCTGCAGCTTCCTGAGGCGGGCCTCTTTCCCTCGTTAGTTTTGATGTCCTCGTATTCTCACTTCTGTTCATGTCGTGACCATTAATCAGTAGTCATATAAGCATGTTTTGCAACAATGTAAACAAACGCGTGACCTGAAAGTATTGTTACATAATTCTATAATCTCAAGCCAGCAGACAGGCCACGATTGCTGTGAACGAACAACGCCATATTCCTGTTTACTTTTGTTTTAAAAAAATTACATCACAAATGGCGTTTTTTTATTTCATAGCGTCTGGTAATTTTGTGTTATTAATTAAGTTATGAAAAAGTTAGTTGTTTTTAATTGAGGGACGGAATTTCTAGCCGCCAGGCTTACCAATTTAAACCTACGCAGGCCCTGAAAGTACAATTCGCTTCAAAAAACAAAAAGAGATTCAAAATAGTTAAGGACTCGCGGGTTCGATTCTCGATGAGGTCATTGCATTTTTCAACTGACCTAATCCTTCCAGCAGCATTATGGCCCTGGGCTTGACTCAGCCTCTAACAGAAATGAGTACTAGGAACCTTCCTGGGGGGTAAAGGGCTACCGGCGCGTAAGGCTGACAGTCTCACCGCCATCTGTGAGCCAATTCTCTAGAAAATGTGCGAGCCTCGACGTGTGTTAGTTACAATTCTTGTTCTTAATTAAACACTACGCCGTGAAAACGTATATGTGAGTGGAGGTATAGCTCCACCATCCTTGACTTCAGCACTAGATGGAGGAGAGTGGTCAGCTTCACGCTTCAGCCGCTTTATCTCCTGGGATAAAGCCCCCAGTACCCGTTGTATAGGAGGCTGAGTGGGCCCCAGAGCCGGTCTGAACACCGGTTTAAAACATTTCTGTAGGCACGTCATACACAGTAAAATTTACCGAACAGAAGACTTTTCTTTTTTCAACAAGATCTCTGGTAATGCGATTTTGGTTCACACCGTATGTAGAAAACAGGATCTAGTAACTTTCTAATGATGACGTCATGATCTACGTCACTGCCTCATGTGGTGCACTCCCTAAGATGCTTTACACACACAACGCTGTCATTTTGCGTTACGTGGGATACAGCAAATGTCGTTAAATGCATTACAAATAAGTGAAGGAAAATCGCTTGACGACTTCTTGCGATTTATATCGATATCTCGCACGGTAGGGCCCTTGACGATAGATATCATCTGGGAATTTTTTAATTCGCTTAGTAGTGGGGTGGAATCCAGCTGGGTCCACTCGGCACGGCGGTCACTGATTGGCCTATTGTACCTGACCCGGGTGATTATGATGATGGAGAATTTGGTGGAATGAAGATTGGCAGGGGAAACCGAAGTGCTCGGAGAAAACCCGCCCCAGCGCCACTTTGTCTACCACAAATCCCACTTAACCAGACCCGGGATCGAACCCGGGCTGCTGTTGTGGGAGGCCAGCGACTAACCGCTTGAGTTATGGCGCGGCCTAACCCTAGTTCTTGGTCTGTATCGTTGAATGAACAAGCCAACAGAATTTTCATTTGTGTTATTCTATTCACTTAGAGCGCTATTACACCGTTTCATCCGTTGTTACGCAACGAACAGTCCGTTGTTAGGATATTCCTACGCAACGGTTTGTTGGTATTCAGTTCTTCGCTGTGGATACTAAACAATTTCCATTTATTCTTTGTTGCTGAAGTATGCGTTCCTACTGTAGCCGTTACGCAACGATGGACGTCAGATAGCACGTCACATTATTTTGTATATTATTGTCTTTTTCAATTTAATTTTTTTTTTAATCTAAGGGGTTTGGAGGTGCTTGGCTTGCTCCTTTCCCTGGAAGTGACCTTGAGAAAAATTAAATTATTCTTTACATCAGCTAGACCATAAACATAAGTGTAAAATGTTATTTCCTTTGTTACAGATAGACATAACCTCCTGCGTAACATTTTAAGACGAAGAAGATGTGGAGGTTATGTGCGATGTTGTTACTGGGTGTGGAACTCGGTGGAGCCACATTGCCGGACCTGGAGTGTCCCGAAGAGTGTGAATGTCACTACTTCAGGATCAACTGGGTCACAGACTGTTCGGAAAGCAACTTAACAGAGATACCTCACGAAGGACTCAGTCAAAATGTGTATATCCTCAACATGAACAGCAATAATGTCACCGACGTGCAGCCCTTCCCCGAGGACATCAAGTTGAGACGCCTCCAGCTGGCGGACAACTTGCTAACTGGGCTCAAGAGGCAATCCTTTGCAGGACTGGCCTATCTACTGGACGCAGATTTATCTGGGAACCTGATCACTCACGTAGACCCAGACGCTTTCAGGTTGGCTTTTGTGAATCAGTCTCACATTTTTGTAGAAGCCTCTGCTAAGGTCTACTTTAATCATTCTTAGAAATTGAAATTTGAGATTTTCACCATTACTCAAGATCCAGTATTAGAAGAGCCTTCCGACTTCAGGATTTCTATTCTGAAAATGGAAACACCTCGTGGTGATTTGGGACAAACCATCTGTGACCATCTTCATGTATTCGTCACAAATAAATATTATTTTTATTCGGGATTACTGTGGTTTTCTGTACTTTGTCTATCGTCCGATATTCTAAAGAACACAACAATTTTATAACTCCTCAGCGAGGACCGCATATACAACACCTCGTTCTCCCGTTGTATGCGTAACCGTTGCCGCGGGAACGTGTTCACCGGGTCATTTCTCAGGAACGGGTCTGACATAACACCCTACCTCACGACCGTTACATAACAACAGCTATATATTTTCCGTCACACATAACGATGCATATAATTACTGCAAATTACATGTTTCGAATTTAGATGTCAGAATTTGTTTACAGTATATATTTTCTAAAGAAGTCGGGATAGCTCAGTCGGTATAGCGACTAGCTACTGGCTGGACGACCGATGGGTCGGACTTCGAGTCCCAGTAGTTTGAAGAATTTTCTCTTCTCCACGTCATCCATATCGGCCCTGGGATCCACCCAACTATCCAATGGGTACTGGGGGCTCTTTCCCCGGGGGTAAAGCGGCTGGGTCGTGAAGCGGACCACTCACCTCCAACTAATGCCGAGGTCAAGAAAATGTGGATCTACACATCCACTCCCCCATACGCCTTCATGACGTAGTGCTTAATTAGTTAAGCGCAGGGACAACTTTACCTTATACTCGCATGCGTTCTAAATAAGCTGCCATTCCATTAATTGATTCTACTGCTAATACTGAACAAATTTCTTGTGATTTTATACTTGAACATACATTTAACATTTTAATTTTGCGTAAAATTCCTGAAAGTCGCGAAAGTGTACTAAAATGTCGGAGAAAATTATATTTTCCGGGTCTTAATTGAAGTCACCTTGTCCACGTAACATCATTAAGATGACGCTCGTTACTGCGCAAGCAGACAGCAACAGAAAAGGACTCCTCAACACAATTCTCCGGGTACACAGTCGAACTCGCTGCGGTCACCGGAAAGTGCAACGTAGTGCCGGACAAACCGCCATTATCGTTCACGTAAATTATTTATTTTGTGGCGAAGGACACATCATCCATGAATTGACTGACGTCATTAATGACGCACTGATACAGATTCTGAGTTGTTAGTGACGGTTTGTTAGCACAGAGGGCCTCTGGTTCGTTGGTTCTCAGTTTCGAACTCCTTCAGTGCAACTTTCTTTTTTAGCATAAACACATTATATTATATTATAATTTTTGTTGTATAGAAAATGAATGAATCAACCGAAGAGAGATTAAGTGACAGGAGGCTGGAGAAAAATGCATAATGAGGAGCTTCATAACTTGTACTCTTCTCCAAGTATAATTAGAATGATCAAGTCAAGGAGGATAAGGTGGGCAGGACTTGTAGCACGAATGGAGGAGACGAGGAATGTATGCAGGATATTCGTGGGAAAGCCAGAAGGAAAGAGACCATTGGGAAGACCAAGGCGTAGATGGGTGGATAATATTAAAATGGATCTTAGAGAGATGGGATGGTATGGATTGGGTTGATCTGGCTCAGGATATGGACCAATGGAGGGATTTTGTGAACACGGTAATGAACCTACGGGTTCCATAAAATGCTGGGAAATCCTTGAGTATCTGCAGAATTGGCCGCTCCTCAAGAAGGGCTCTGCTCCATGAGTAAGTAAGTAAGAGAATGAATATTTACTTTCAGCTGCTGAGAGATGGAATAACGCGTTTCCTTTCACTGATAATCGCAAACATAAAACAAATTCAAACCGGAAATAGTAGTATTTTCAGGCAAAATGCCCCGTGCTTAAAATGGGAGCACCTGGCATTGGTACTTCTGGATTTATTTAACGCTATAGTTTGAAATCTATGTTGTCTTTCGCCGAATTCTATACTCATTTACCATTAATGATCGTGACGATGGTCTGAAGAAAAAAGTTTTTATCTAAGAAGTGGTGGGGGGGGGGTCATTTTCGCTTGGGCCCTGGTAGGACTAGAAATTTGGTCATCAGAAAAGTAGGATTTATGAGTCCTACTCGGAACACATCTTTTAGTTCTAGGATTTGAATTTCTCAACTGAGATATAACAGCCTTTAGTCTGTTGAAAGTCGGCCGACGTTTCGGAGGAAAATATCGCCTCAGTCATCAGGGTCGAAGAATGAGCCAAGTAAGAAACAAGAGCGAAGCAAATGACAAGGAGAGAAGGAGCCGCACTGAACTGCCGGGTGGTTTTCAGCTGACTATACGGCGTCATATTCCTCACGGTAGAACGCTTTGCCTTCTCTGGCTCTTTCATTTTAATGACACATTCGTGTTTGACTTGCATTTGTCGATGTCGCAAAATATCTATTTATGGCGCATGCTCGCAATGTGTTTGTGTGACGTAACGCGCGGTGTATATGCATACCAATTGCGGGCCATAACACAATCACAGCTCACTTCGCACATTATGCAAATATGTGAATCATTTATTCGCGCCTTTTGCAATTTGTGTCGCAACTGTCACCTTGTAAGGAAACCTACTCCCACCACAGTAAGCACCAAGTTCCTCTTTTACAAATATTTACAGATATGTAAATTCAAATATCGTGTTAGTCATTAATGGAAATTCGTAAGAACTGAAAGACTGAAGACTACAATCTTCTTGGTTTTTGACACTGTGTATTTTGGTGGAAGTGGGCTTCTACCAAATCACACGGCGTTATAGCCCAGATGATCGTACCTCTTATAGAAACGGCTATGAGAACCTCAAATGAAACAAAGTGTGAAGGCAAAAGGTAAAGCTATCCCTGTAACAGGCCGTGAAGGCCCACAGGTTTGTGAGACGTCGAGGGTCCCTCATATTCTAGACAACTGGCTCACAGATGGCGGTGAGGTTATCAGCCTTACTCTCCGGCAGCCCTTTACTCCCAGAAAGATTCCTAGTACTCACTTCTGTTAGAGATTGAGTCGACCCCAGGGCCATAGTCCGGCTGGAAACATTAGGTCAATTGAGACAATCTAATGACTTCATCGGGAATCAAACTCGCGACATTCCGAGTTCTAGCATAGTGCTACAGCGTGTGTAAAAAATTTTGATAATATGTTTTATTAATATCACTACAGGAAATGAATGAGAAATGCATATAGAATTTTGGTGCGAGAGCCAGAATTAAAGAGACCACTGGGAAGATTTAGTTCTTACAACCCAGAAGAACCTACATTTTCAAATAACCTTCTCCCGGCTACGAACGAGATATATACTATGAATACCGTTGGTGTATCTTCGGCAAACTTCTACTCTAAGTCATGTTTGTAATTTTGCACAGTCTTAATTTGTAAATTGTTGCTAAAATATGACATATTACGGTGGTGTTCAGTGTGGAAATGGACCCAGAAACGGTCGAAAATTATTTAGAATTTAAGGGTAATGGGAAGTGAATTCTGCAACGAATAACTAATATTGTTTTCTTTCCCATTCCAGGGACAGTCCAGGATTTATTACACTTGAACTGCAGGAGAATCCTCTGGAACCCGTAGATGGGCCTTTCTTGTCTTCCAGATCGCTAATGTATCTGGATCTGAGCGACTGTCATCTGACGAGACTGTCCACCCAATTCTTCACCCTTTCCACATCCCTGAACAAACTCGATTTGTCTGGAAATCCCTTGGGATCCATAGAAGAAGGAATATTTGATCCACTAACAAGCCTGGAGTATTTACAATTAAACCGTTGTAATTTGACTCATGTAGCTGATACAGCGTTTAGGAATGTGACGAACTTGAAAACACTTGAACTATCTGAGAATTATCTTACAATTGTGCAGTGGACAGTTGTGCTTGGTAATCTGAAACTATTGGACTCTCTAGACCTCAGAAAATCAGCGTTGAATAATCTGCCTGGAAACGCTTTCGCAAACAACAGCTGGCTCAGAACTCTCGTCCTTGCTGAAAATGAGCTGCGTGATTTGGACGTTGCGACTACCCTAGGTCAGAATCTTCTTCAGCTCGATACATTAGATTTGTCAAACTGTCATCTTAAAGGACCCCTATCGGAAGATGCATTTGCCAACGCTACAAAACTTCGAACTTTAATTCTTTCCGGTAACTATTTATCAGCTTTGGATCTGTCTGTGGCATTGGCACCGCTGACACGCCTCCACAAATTGTCTTTGAGGAACTGTGGGCTCACACGTCTTCCACCAAACACTTTTCATCGTCTGACGGCGCTAGAAGAATTGGATATATCTAAAAATCCTCTGAATGATGTATTTACTGGGATTCTGTCACCTTTGGAGACACTGCAGATGCTTGACATGAGTTACAGCAATCTATCTCATATATCACGTGATACGTTCTCAAAAATGACCCACTTACAACGGCTGGTTCTTTCTGGAAATCGTCTTACTGATCTTGAGTCTGGATTGTTCCAGAATCTAACTCAGTTGAGGACTCTTGAACTTAATGATTGTGGGTTGAGTCATCCACCAGATGAAGATGTTTTCAGTACTGACATCTATGAAGACTTCCAGGAACTACACCTCGCAGGAAATCCCCTTATCATAACCGAATTAGAGCCATTACTTCCACGACAATTGAGCAATGTACAGCTCTTAGATATGAGCAATTGTAATCTCAGAACTTTACCAAAGGATGCTTTCATGAAGACACCAAAAATAACTACGCTTAAGTTAACAGAAAACCACATCGGTCCAGGTTCGCTTGACCTGGAGTTCATTAAACAGCTGACACATCTTGAAACTCTGGATCTGAGTAACAACAATCTTAGTCACTTATCACCAAATATATTTTCAAATAATCCAAACATTACGTCTCTGAAATTAACAGGAAACCCATGGATATGCGACTGCAGTATATATGAGCTCTGGGAGTGGGCATCTGTCACGAAAGGGAACTTGACGATTCTTGTCGGATCCAGAACTTCTCCCGAAGATATAAGCACCGGCAGTGGAAAACGCAAAAAAGGATTATTTTGTCATTATGAATCTAATCGTTTACCATCGCCGAAGACACCGTCGCAGACACGAGCGAAGGATTTGCACGCAAGTAGAACGTGGGCAAAATACCTTAAAGAATCGGGCTGTGTATCGAACAGAGGTCCAAAAGCAGAGAGATACATAGATGCTCGCAACACCGGGGATGGTGTAACATTTTATCTGGAAGACTCGCCACCAACGTGGTTTGTCGTGGCTGCTTGCATGTCACTTCTTGTTTTCCTTGCTATGGTATTTGGTACCTGCATGGCATTGTTCCTGAAGAAGGGGAAGAAGAAAAATATTGCAAGGTATTCAGCATCTGCCATAGATGTGGAATGTGTACAAAGTGTCATAGAAGTGGAAGTTACACCCAAACGACGTAGGAACCAGAAAGTCGTATAGACCTTCAAAGAACAATATTCTCCTATATAATATTTAAAATTCCAGTTCCTACCTCACAGGAAACACAATGCATATTCTTTATAAAGACCAATTGCACAATTCTAATTAGGGAAATAATTGATATTTACTGTGAGAACCATACAAAACATACATCCTGTAATGAAGTGCAGAGAATTGTAACGTTAAATGGTAACCACGGTGTTTTAAATGGTGTCATGTGTTCTGTATGTCACAATGGAAAAATTATGTCTTTTTTTATGTCATTATTCATGACCTCCAATAGATTAAGATATTTCAATATTACCAGTCACCTATATTTCTGCAGTCACCATCGTGTCAAAACTGTTCGAACGCATGTTCTGTTACGCGTGAAACGTAGTTTGAATGGCTTCTGTTCCCAAGACACTGGCTAGGAACAGTGAAAGCGATCCTAGAATGAGTGCGTGGTGAAAAGTGCAAAATGTTGAGAATATGAATAGTGTGTGACTGATATTAAAATAAAATTTATAACTACTATTATAGCCAAAGATATATAAACAACAAATTATATATTATAAAAAAGAGCTTGCTGTAATTCAAAAGCGCTCATATTTGAAACAAAATATTCGTAAAATTATCAGTAAAACTTGTATTTCGGTTTTAAATAAATCACGTTTTATATTTGAATATAATTAATACTTCCCATTCCATTGACGAGATATTTCGCTCTCAAATACGTTACTTTTACGATTATATCTGTTGTTACGTATTATTTCTGAAAATGAGCCTCTACCACAGTCACCCTAGGTGAAATGATTTTGGCCAGCCCTAATTTCTGTTTCCTTGTTCGGTTTATTCTGATCCTGAAGATGTAAGCACTAAGTTTCTCGCAACGCCTGTAAATTTCTGCCAGAATGTACGGTGTCCCATTCCAGAAGATAGTACTCTTCAAAGCTACCTTCTTTCGGAACGTGACGCAATGTCGTCCTATACGTAGACATCGACGTTTAGGGGCAACAAACTCTTTCACTTCATTGAATAGGAATGTCTTCTGCCCTGAGAATGGGGCAGTAGATTCCTCAAAAAAAACACTGGTGCCTATCTACTAAACTACACGGCGTCAGTCTCTTCACTATAAAAACAGAGATATTGGGTTTTCGGACTTTATCCATCGTCCTGGTTTTAAGATAACTAAGAAAAACACGACGTTTCGGAAACTGGATCTGTTTCCGTCCTCAGGTGAAGGAAAACACCTATTCTGTTGGGTCCCTTACAAAGAGCTAGCCTCAATCACTGGACACAGAAGGATGGATAAAGTCCGAAAACCCAATATCTCTGTCAGAAACATAATTAATGGCCGACTGAACGAGAATTATCTTCGTAGAAGACGAACCAGCGAACTAAGATTTTTTTTTTTTTTGCTATTTTTGGCTGTGGTGATGTGCCTCCTCCTCTGTCCCCTTCCGTCCACAAGGAAATAAAAATATTATGGCCCAAAGAAAAGAACTTAAATTATATTATTAGCAGAAGACGAGAATATGAAAATAAGTCATTCTGTCTAAGCAAGGAAAGAATTAACTACGAAAATAAGAAATACACTTCTTCCCTTTCCACCAGAATTCAATTAATATTTAATGACTATCAAAAGAGTTATCTTTAGACTGTAGTTCCAAGCTCAAAGAGCTATTCCCAAAGTAACACACACAATAACTCATATATTTCCTTGTTTCCATGGTTACTTGGAAACTGGCTCCTTGGTATTCAGTTGTTTCTAATTTTAAATTGGTTTCTTTCTATACAGAAATCATCTCCTTTGTGGTGAAGTGTTTAAACGAGAAAGTATCATATTCAGCATGACTTCAATTATTCTTTATACGCAGTGGGATTTTATAATCAACTTATTTCGTGTATTTACTTTTGAAAAGGAAACGGAAGACAGTTTATTGGCATAAGAAGTCAGATCTAATTTAGTTTCTTTCGTTATTCCTTTGTTGCCTCAATAAAGGTCACAGTCGTTATATTAATTCATCATCCTTCATAGAAGACCGCCTCTGTGGTCTAGTGGTCAGAGATCCTGGCTACAGATCCAGAGGTCCCGGGTTCGATTCCCCGACTCTGTCAGGTTTTCTGAGAAGTAGTGGGTCTGGAACGGGGTCCACTTAGCCTCGTGAGAATAAATGAGGAGCTTTTTCAAGGAAACCGAGATTAACGGCCGTGAGAATCCGTTGCCCTGAACACGTGACATCCTCTATCCGCTGAAGTTGGCACAACCTTCGCTGACAAGCGGCGGTCGCTCTGTCGGTATAGTTCGCTTGCGGACTCCAGGCCACTAAGTTTATCCTCTATGGAAAAAATGGCTCATATTATCCTTAGGTCCTTATGCTTGTATATGTCACTGGGAGCTTATAATTAGCCCTGTAAATTGCCGTGGAGGACCATAGAGTTGTGAGACGTCGAGGTTCCTTCTTTTCTCTAGACAATCTGCTCACAGATGTAGGTGAGGTTGTCAATCTTACGCGCCGGCCGCCCTTTACCACCAGGAATATCCCTGGTACTCATTTCTGTTAGAGGCTGAGTCGATCCCAGGGCCACAATGCGGCTGGAAGGACCTCATTTGGAATCGAACCCGCGACATTCCAGTTTGTAAAATAGTGCCTCAGCCAATTACGCTACAGTGTGCCCCACTACCGGTGGCTTACTGTCAAATATAGACCAGTCAGAAGTGAGATATTTAATTTAAATGTTTTTTTTAATTCGCATGTTTTTGTTTCACATATCTTGGCTTTATTCCATATATTTATATATTTCTTTAGATATTTATATCGGCATACTCTGTACAGTGCGGCCTGCAGGTAGATACCGGGTGCGAAATGTGGCCACTCAACAGTTCCAAGTTGGACAACCCTGACTTTTTACCCCTAAGGGGTCTACAGCTCGCCTGTCTTCCAGCGCTGTAGCTCCTAGGTGCTAGATGCTAGATTCAATGCAGATTGCACTCTCTCTCCGTTCTAACGTTTAAGTTGCGTGGCATGCAGGAAGTTATCTCTCAAAATGCAACAGTGCATCATCGCCTTTTCACCCCCACTTGTAATTCACTAAGAAACCGCTGCAACGTAGTTCGTGAAGTTTAAGGTCTTTCATTCTGGTCCGTCACACTAACAAATTAACNGCCCCATTTGATCACAATATCTAACTGATAAAATGGGGTTCATCGTAGTAGTTCTCAAACAAAAATTCCCGAAGAGTTTTGTCTGGGGTATAGCGCCGTGTATTCCGTTGGAAATCAACCCACGTTTCGCTGGACATGTCGCCTCCATATTCACGGTCGAAAAGCTTGTAGCAGCTATCTGTTTCACATGATTTCTTGCTTGGCTTATTGTTCGACCCTGAAACGGAGGGAGACATGTTCCTCCGAGTGTCAATTGACTTTCCAACAGACTACACGGCGTTATCTCTCTTCATAACAACAACTGCGAGAATTTAAAATCATATAAGAATTTCCCGTTTCCACGTTAAAGAATTATAAAACATGTTCACTGTCACACAACTCGAAACATTAATTTCCTTAAATACAAAACAAATCCTGTAAAGAACATTGTTATTAATTTTATAGCTTAAATCGTGATGAAAATATGATTACCTTAATTTGCAGTAGTTCACTGAACCCTCTTCCACAGGCAATGGAGGAATATTTTCGTCATTCGTCTGTTGGGCTTCCTCTTTTTCAAGAAATGAAGGCAAAGAACTGTTGCCGTGTAGCACACATTCACAACACACGCGTATAAATATTAATTTTATTTACAGAAAATACGAAGAAAACTTGTCTCAATTCTAGAAAGATATTTCACACAAAATATTCCTTCACGAAAATAACGGGCGGCCACATCTGGCCATAATTGAGAATCGCCGTACTAAAGTATTTGAACCAATTACACAACGCTAGTGACATCTTTATCTGCTTTTAAAAGAGAATAAACCTTGAGTCAAAGTTGCGACGTTCTTGTGGGTCCGGTTGCAGTTTATACAGTCTGCTGCCCCCACCTAACCCATTACACCACATAACCCCATTTGACAAAACTCCAACCGCTGAATACACCAGAAGAACTCGTATGTTTGGTATCACTAACTCAATAACTTAATTTGCAAAGTGTCATTAATTTTATTTCACAAATGAGAAAACTATCTGACAATGCAAGGGTGTTAAATTAATATTAATATATGGATGACGTCATTACAGTAAGTTGTGCCAAAGCCACGGATATAGCATTGTAATATTAAAAGGCTGTAAAATTAATATTTACAAATTTGGGTTACTTGAAATCAGAAACGGAGGCGGACACTAATGATCTTTGTCCCTGGGTGCGTCCACACTCCCTGCGTCATAGAAGAGCCTACCTACTCGTCCATCAACTTTTGCAACTGTGTGAAACTAAAGCACGGTAGCACACGGTACGAATGCAAAGTTTTCATCCTTGACGTATTCAATACACAGAAGTAAACAAAACAATATTAACTGTCGTTTTACACAGTTCATTAACCTTGGCATTCTTGCTTCTCTGTCACTATGCCTGAAGACAAAATAGTTCTAACCTACTTAATCACGTTATCACACTAACCACATTACGACACCCAATACCGCCAAATACATCCCTTCCACCGCTTCCGCCTATCGCCATCACCAATGGCCCTCACCCCCGCCCCTCAATCCCTAAAGACAAAACTTATATGTCACAGAGGTAGGATAACATCCGGTACTCTTTCAAAGATGTCGCTGGTGTATGTTTCCCCAGTCGCATCCCCCTGGTACAGGTACACGGGGTTTAGTGAAGTCTCTTCCTTCTGACCCGTGGTATTTGCTGAAGGCTATACCATCTAGTGGCAGAAATTATAAGGAAATTGACATTTACTCTCCAGCGTCGTTTAGGAAACGTTTAGAACAATTCACTGACAAGGAACGGTCTCACGGGTCTGACTGTGTGATCGAGTATTCATGTGACAATTTCGTACATAGTCAACGTCCGTTTGTGCAGATGAAATATTGTGATATATTACCATGGATCACAAACTTCCTCCAGGAAGCACTATTTCTTTTTAATTTGAAAAATAAATGTATATACAAAAAGAACCTAGTTTTATAAACATCTTATTCTATCATCGCCGTTGCCCAGCGATTTTTGAATGTAACTCTTAACTCTAAAAACATACTCTTAATATTTTTGCAGATTTACTTCTTCTATTTTTTAAATAAATTTAGGAATCTTGTTTATGAAGTAACAGATGCCTGTGCTGTGAGATGGTATTTGTTCCATGTAGTTATATTTAACAAAATTATAAGATTAATTTAGAAAATATTCTCCCTGCTTTGCCTGCATTACTCACAGGAGTCTTCCTTTTGGATTTTCCCACTGAAATTTTCTATGCATTTCTCACGTCTCTCTTAAATGCTATATCAAACTTGGCATATGTTACAACTAGCCACAAATTTTGATAAAGGGGCAGTAAACAATGGGAATATTGAAACTGACAAAAGGGATGCAATATGAACATAAAACACACAAATATATATATTATATGCAGAAAACTATAAATATTGCAACTGCTGAACTCTGTAACTGCCAATCACAGAACTGCTCAATAGGCTGCAAAGAGGCCACATGTAGCCTAGTAGCTTGTTTTTATAACCCGTAAGCGATTCCAGCCATTCCCAAAAAATATGTTAATGTCTTTAGAGCTGTTTGCTGCCTGGTTCTTACTGGATTATTGCTTGGATTAAATTTTGACCCTAGAGGGGAAGGCAGTGCATTCCTCCAAATTGTTGATAAACTTCTGTCAGATTACACAGTGTTACATCCCTTCATAGTATCTGCCATGAGAGCCTCAAAATTTTAACGTATATTATTGTTGTTTCTTCATCTGTCTTCAGATTTTTAGTTGTGACAGATGGTAAACAATTGTGAACAAAATATAACATGCATCCAAAATTCAATCTGCTCCTAATTTCATCATGAATATAACTTTTATCTGCTGTTGGCATTCACAAATGTTCAAATTTTATCATAATTTTAAGGACTTTAATAGTTATGCTTATGTTATGATTTTGTCCTATATTACGATAATGTACTATGAACATATATTTAGTTTAATATACCTGTATTTATTTCCATAAATTTGTAATTGTTATTTGTGGCCTTCCTGCATTATTAATATCATTTAAACAGTATTTATATTATCACAACTAAAATCCACAAATTGTTTTATTTATTTCATTGAAGATACAAAACATTTCACTTTACACTGTGTTGAGTGGAAACACATATAACTAAAGAAGAGCAGAATTGTAAATTTTAACTGCAGTACAGCATTAAATTTGAATACAGACTTCCTTAACAATAACTGGTTTACAAAGTTATCTTGAGAAGCATCCACTTTCTTAAATCTTACACAAAGCATGGTAGATATATATAACGGTTTGGAGTACAAGAAAACTTTTACATTAAGGAAGCAAAACTGGATACTAATTGAGCAAAAGCAATGAAAAGGTTACATCCATTCCTACCCCTAATTCTGATATAACAATATCATAAATATTTTATAATTTATCAGCAACATTTTCCATGCTACACAGTTCTGTAAAGTTAAAACTTAAATTACAATGTACTATGGTGAAAGTTAAAGATGAAATATACCCCATGCCTAAGCAGCATGCCAAAATGGGGGCATAAGCCATGTGGAGACAAAACCATCTAGACATAGTCACCAAATGGAGATAAGTTGTCAGATTAATGATCTGACTGATAGATGAAGCCCAGAGTTGGTCTGCAGTCAAGGGCAAAGAGAAATATTCTTGTTCCTACCATTAAGATTGTACCAACTCACTTTACTGACTGAGCTACTCATCAACTCTGCTGTGATAATGAAGAACACAATCTCCTTGGCTGTAATCTTGTTTTTGTAGGACTCCACTGACATTTCAGAGAAATATATCATCTTTATGAAGAGAAATGAATGAACTAATAATAGCATTAGTACAACTATGGCTCATGGGAATACACTACATACAATGTTGAAAGTTCTCCAATGTTTCATCAAACATTGCAGTTGCCATCCTCAGAGTTAATATCCCTTTAGTTGTTTTGGATGCTCTTATATGGATCTCACCATTAGTGTTGAGTAGAATGTGTTACCACAGATCAACAAGACGCAGGAGTGAGATGCTATCCAATATTGGACTGGATAGCCCATTCGACAGAACCTCACTCCTCTGTTTCGTTCAATCATGGCTGCATCTGCAGTTCGGTGTCAACTGTGAGGTCTATATGAGAGCAGCCAAAATCCAGCAAAGAAATTATCCTTGAAGATGGAAACTGTAATTTTTTGCCAAAAGGCTGCAGACATTCCAACATTCTGTGTGGCTTATTATCAGAAGCTGAAGTCATACATTAAACTCAAACTGCAAAATCTAAGGAGATATATCAATAATCCTGGTCCATCATACTAGCAGTAGTATAAGAGATTATTAAGTCCATCCAGTGTGATCAATAAATGTTGTGTTTTCTTTTTAACCTTTCATCCCTTACACGTTCCAGTTGTAGCAACCGCCTTCAGGTGGACGTCATCAGTACATACGGAAACTATTATTACAGAGTCATAGATATAACATATTATTCTATAACAATTACTACAATGTGTATGAATTTGTTAAAACATTTATAAATTATTATAATTAGTCTATTTACAAAGTATTTTTAAAAAACATCTTGTTAAAATCTAGAACCAATTTGGTTTGTGCCCTTTTTACTTCATCTCCTTAAAGGAAGATGAATGTATGCCATGTCTTCCTTCAAAGAGAAGACGTAAAAAGGGCACAAACCAAATTGGTTCTAGATTTTAACGAAAAGTTTTTAAAACAATACTTTGCAAATAGACTAATAATAATAATTTATAGATGTTTTAACAAATTCATGCACATTGTAGTAATTGTTATAGAATAATATTTCATATCTATGACATTGTAATAGTAGTTCCCGTATGTACTGATAATGTCCTTCTGAAGATGGTCGCTCCGACCGAAACATGTAAAGGATGAAATATTAAAAAAGAAGCATAAAATTTATCAATCACACTGGACAGCGTTAATAATCTTTTATACTATTAACAATGGTGATTACTTTTTCATACGAGATGCACAATACTCTACAATGTGGCAGAAAATATGTGAAATTTTAGCTTCTCACAATGGTAAATGCCACGATCATGGTCAATTGGGTACTCTGAAGATAGAGAGATTGGAGGTTCTTTCAAAATGTTGGTACTCATCTACTGAACTACATGGCACTACATCCCAGACAACCATAATCATGACGCAAAAACATAAATGGAAAATATAGCTAAACGTGGGTACCTCCTGTGACAGACCATAAGACAAATAATCTTTCTTTAATGCTGGACAGACGATATGCAATATTAAAATGAAGGTGATTAATGATACCCATTAGTGTATTTATATGAAACATTCAAGCCAGATAGTAATACCATATTATACACCACAAGAGAGCTTCATTGTAACACTTAAACGCTACACAAAATTTTGTTGTTATTATTTGCAGTGTATATTATTTTCGTGTTTATTCCTTTTTCTTGATAAGGGGCACAGCATATTTGTCATAAGCTGCGCTCAGTGCCTTCAATATTGGGCCCACATATTCCAAGGACCTGAAATAGAAAGAATGGCTCACAGCATCAACAAAGTGAATGAATTAAATATTTGTATTTGAAAATGAATAATAACTTTGCATTTTCAGTGATAAAATCAAGGGGAATGAAACAGTTGGGACATGCATCATGCATTTAGAAAATGAGAAATTATACTAAATTTTATTGTACTAAATTATCACGTTGCAGTAATAAAGAAGATAAATTTGTATCTTTATCACCAATTTCAAATTGAAGTATGAACCACCGTGATTATGACTGATATAGCTACATACAACATAACCAATGCCTGTTACAGTTGACATTTGTAAAATCTTCATACTTCATAGTATGAGAAATAATTAATTTTTGTGCCTTAAATATATATATATATGATTACACAGAATTTTGATTGGAATACCTTAAAGGAAAAGATCATATTATTTGACCCAATTACAATTAATAACACTTCTGAAATCATTACAAGTTATATTCTCATACGAAAAAAATGTCTTACCCTTGTGAGGTATCAAATCCAGATTCATTGGTAGTTCACCCCATAAACTACTTGCTACAATGAATGGGCTGTTCTATGTGCAATAATATTTGTAGGTGTTTTCCATTAGGCGCACAGCAGGAAAGAGGAAACTGGGAGTAAACTGATGTACTTATGTACTCTACATTAGGTTATGTCCTGCATGCTTACCGCTTCTGAAAGTTGTTGGTAGCATAGGAAAGAGAAGGCTGGTTGTACGTTCCTGCTGTGCTGTATGCATCATAGTTATGGCCCATTCCAGTGCCTGAGTAAGCTGTTGTAGTGAAATGCTCGCAGGTGCCCACGAGGTTACAAAACCGGACTCCAAACAATGGCAGAATTAAGGAGAGAACTACAGCAACGCCGATAAATCCGAGTACTAAAGCCCCAGCTGCTGTCACAAGCTGGAGCATGTTTGCAGGCAGGGACATGTCATCTAAAACATAAAGGCAATTCAGGCATAAATAGCATCACAAGAAACAAAGTTTATGTAATGTCATAGTTGGCATCACTACGATATTTCAATATTCTGTTACTGAGAATATTACTCAAAAATTAAAATGAGGTTCATGCTGAATTATAAAAATAATCAATTCTGTAAAATATAATATTATATTTAAGCATCCTGTTACACTCACACAATATATGAGACAAACTCTGTCTTTAGTGCAACAATTTAATTGTAGTTCTTTCTTCTTCTCTTCCTCTACACTACATTTTTCAGCCTTAAATGGCCATCACCAGGTGTATAGTCTCATGTAGCTGCTACACTGCCCGTAGTTTAAAATTTAAAAACACCAGTCTTTCCAATTGTATGTATGTATAAAATCTTTGTTAATCTACACATGTCAATTTGATTTCTAAAATTGGCACTTTTTTAAAACTTCTTACAATTGGAAAGACTGGTGTTTTTAAATTTTAAACTACGGGCAGTGTAACAGCTACTTGAGAATATACACCTGATGATGGCCATTTAGGGCCGAAACATGTAGTGTGGAGGAAGAGAAGAAGAAAGAACTACAATTAAATTGTTGCACTAAAGACGGAGTTTGTCTCATATATTCTGTAAAATATATTATGGAATTCAAAATCGTTATCTGGAAGGTTCTCAAAATTCTGAGTTTCCAGTTCACATCAGTGTGAAACATGGTCAATTATTTTGAAAGGAAGACATGGTTTAAAAATATTTCAAAACAAAATGTTCTTTAAAATATTTGGATCTAGAAAGGATACGGGGAGAGGGTGCAATTTAGGATATTACATAACATAAACTTAGTAATTTACACAGTTTGCATAATGGCAAAATATAGAGAGTCACTGCTTTAGAGTATTGAGATTATTTTATATACCTCTGCTTTAACAATAACTCTGCATTCTGTCCACAGGGTGTGATTATGGGTTTTGCATGATTCTCAGAATAAGCAGCAGTCGTTTCTCTAAATAAAATTTACCAGTTGATCATTATAATGGAGATGCACTGTATTCTCTGTGAGGTATGTGCTGAACTTCAGACTCTACCATCTTAATACAGGTTTTCTTGGTTTGCTTCTGTCTTCAAATTAATGCTGAGATCATCCCCAAATTCTAAGTTACTACTGTGATCTTGTAATGCAGCCCTTCTTATTTAAATTAATCTAAGTTAAACCCCTCACTCTTGAGTCTCCCAAATCAACTTTCCAATTATTCAAATTTCACTTAACCAGAAAATCAAAATTCTGTTCCCCTTGTCTTCAGTGGCTAACAAAGCTTTTAGTGTAAATTGACAAATTAATTCATGAACACCCAGGTTAGTTAGCTTTGCTCAGGTCCCATGAAGCAATTGGCTTCATATGTCCCACCAATTTCTCATTTTCTCTTTTCAGGCTTCAAGGAATTAATACCCATAACTTTTTTAACTTTATTTTTGTAATAAAATACAAAGATAAATACATTTTTATCAATATACCATCACTATTTGTGCTTGTTATTAGCTATGCAGCAATAGTTTAGTAATCCAAATAACAAGGTCAGTGAGTTGTGCAGAATTGCAAGAAAATAAACTGGTATATAAGTGTTACTTATTGAAATTTACCATTCCAAACTTGTTTCCAACAATGTACTTACTTGGCAACCTGATTGATGAGAGTGAATTCCTGTCAACAGAAACGGTTTCATCCTCTGTTCCTTCCTCAGCACAGGCGCTAGTGTACAGCACAGCCATCAAGAAGAGCATGAGATAGAAGTCATGGATCTTGCACGCCATTCTGGAAAAGAGTATATTACATATGACAGACCAACAAACACCAACACTGAGACTTCCATATATCATGACTTATCTACATTAGTCTTCTGTCCATATTGTTCATTTCTGAAGAATTATTAAAAATTGAAAAGTTCTACCATCTCTATGCAGAACAATCCTTATAATGAGATAGCTCTACTGTTACATTTTATATTAATTGTTAATAAACAACACAACAATCAAATGCAACAAACTTCTAATTAAATGTTGAGTCAATAATATCACATTATTTGTTCCAGTCCTACAGGACCATCTTCAGAAGGGATTGTTTATATGCACATTTAAAATTAAATCTAAAAATCTTAAATTTATACTCCATGCATTTCTTCTGAGCACAAGAAGAATCTATGTTATCTTTTGTAGTTGTTCTCTGATCAGTAAGTAAAAGTTTGTTACACTTGATTGTTTTCTTGTTCTTTAAAAATTATAAGAATCCTTTTTGAAAGCTATGATATGTATACAGTGGCCATCTTGTAGTGCACTCAATTTCACCTGTTACTTCACGACATGTTTCGGCAACATAGTGCCATCATTAGGTGCCCTAATTACGTTAATCTATTGCATTGCTTGCCCTCATATGTCTTCACAACACCATTTAAAAAGTATTTAAAAAGTGCGTATTTGTCAACTATAATAAATTTACACTCACTAAAACTTGTTAAGATTATTTATCTTATGTGTCTTAATTAAAACTTGCGTGTGGTTCATTCACTATGGGGTCGTTTTTCTTATTTTCTGTGTAAACTGTGTCTTGTGATGTGCGTTCCCTTCTTAGCTGCGAGTGAAAGGTTAATAGTTAATCAGCTAAACAAAATTCCTCAGCTGTTATAGGGCCTTAAGATTCATTATCATGTTCAATAGAATCCACCACTGGAACTTACTTTAAATCAGATGAATCCTGCCCACAACCTGAAACCCTATACTTTTAATATTCATTTTAATATTATCCTCCTCATCTATACCTAATTCCCCCAGGTTGTGGTAAATGCAACATACCTGCTTATTTCAGTTTTATATTTCTGCCACACTCCACAGTCACTTCTGGAGAAATAAATGAAGGGTTCTACCCTTTATAGTAACATTCTTTACAGGTCTGAATGCTTCAGCCAATCAGGAGAACCACAGAGAAAAGTGGAATTTTTTTAAGAAGGAAAGAGCTTGTAGGGGTTGAAAAACTCAGTAACCTTGAATTATTAATTTCTCCTTGCCCTTCAAAAGATTTGTAGGGGGCAGGTGAGAGGAGAGAAGTAGGGGTTGAACAACCCTTAAGATAAAGCAACTTACCTGGAATTTTTGTTATAGTATAGAATTAGAAATGTTCTTGAACAAAAAATAAAGTGGGCCAGAAATTTAGAGATGTTTGTCAAGAATGTAGTTAAGCATAAATTTGTATTGTAGACAATGGAAGATCTAAATAATCGATAGTTATGTCAGTGGGTTGTGCATGGCAACATTTGCTTAGTTACATGTAAGAGAGATGAAAATTTTGCTCCTGTTTGGAGTGCATATGATATTCTAAACATGTTCTTAACCAATTTTCATCCTGAAGACTGCAAGCACGCTAACCAAATTGATTCTAAATTTTGCTGAATGAAACAAAGGGACTGCCTTTCCAATATCTTACACTACTGCAAATGGAGTCTAGTCAATCCATACCATGTCTGACTTACTAAGATGCTGTCAAGGCAGACCAATTTGTTTTGCATGGAATTCCTGTATGCCTCTGTAACATTGCATGAATTGAGTCGAATGGAACTGAGGTTTACTTTTGCAGCATTATAGTGAGTTAGTCTTGACTCAACTTGATTAAATTCAGTTAATATGCTTGCAACCTAAAATTTCTTGACATTCATACATATAGATCTATTATTGACAGGGTTAATATTACTAAGAACATGGAAGAGAACCCTTCTTCAGAACCTGCACTTCTCAGTTAGACAAAAAGTTTCTATCTTTTATGGATACTGAAATTTTATTACCATGTTCACAGCATGCAGTCACCAATTCTTATCCTGAGCCAGACGAAACCAATCCATATCCTCTCAGTGCATTTCCTTAAGTTCCATATTAATAATACCCTTTGTTTTATATAAGATACTATGTGTTGTGGTGAAGGTTGGTTATATAAATATATACACTCCCCTTTTCTTGTTTTTATAGACAAAATACATGAAAAGAACGTCCATCTGGGTTTTCATATTCAGTCCTATATAACCTAACTACATGTAACTTAAATCGAATTTTATCAGATTTGAAGAACAGTTAATTTTTTTATGGTTATTTTAATGACTCTGTCAGTAGCTAGACTATATAGCATCAATGGTGGGATGATAGATGAACGTTGAACTGAAAAGGATTGGGAAGAAAGCAATCATTATCTAACCATGGAACAATCCTGGCATCTGCTTGGAGGGAATGTGGAAAACCAATACAAACCTAAGTCAGGATAGATGGTGTCCCAGTTGAGACTGGAACCGAGAACCTCCCAAGTATGAGTCTCAATTGCTACAACTATGCAAATAAGCTGAGTTAAATATGGATTATATTACACGAGACTGGTACTGAAGCTTACTGAATTTATAGCTAATTTGTAATACTAATAAGAGCACTTGAATAATATGTACATTTTACGAAATACAGGCAAAAAGAAATATACGTATGTCTCTTTTTCAGGGGGGTGGATTTAAGGGACAGCGACAGAGGTGATCGCCCCAAGGGCTCTACAAAACAGAAACTGAATTCACAGATTTTACTGGGACATTCACTTCTCTAAAATCGCAAAAAGTTACTTTATATTTTTAGTTATTATAAAAAATATCATGCCATAACTATCCTTTCCACCAAAGACATATGTAGGAAGGAATTCATGAACCTACATTTTGACAATTTCCTTTACAATGTGTGTTTTTCTTTCCTGAGCACCTTCTGCTGACCTAGAGTAATCCCGCAGTCATAAGTACACCTCAGACTTCCTATTAATCCGTTTGCAAGCCAAGTGTTGACTAGACCCGCTCCGGCTGTTTGCATTAAATTTGTTACATCCGACNTGTTGAAGTATCTCTGTTGTTAATTAAAGGTCACCTGAAGTAGGTACTATGATGTTCACAGTGCAACCGAATTTATCACCATGTGACGTTGAATCTCAAGTTTTAAGAAGCACATATTCATTATGCATTTCTTCAATCTTGATCAATAATAAGTATTTCCAATACTCGATTTTGTGTCATCATGGACAGTGGACTTNCGACTTTGGAATTTCTGGTAGGTAGTTCTATGGCAGGGCTTTGAAGCTAAAGTTTTAAGAAGCACATATTCATCATGCATTTCTTCAATCTTGATCAATAATAAGTATTTCCAATACTCAATTTTGTGTCATCATGGACAGTGGACTGAAAAAACTACTTTAAGATATTTTCATCTGTTATTTATTAATGTTAATAACATAAGACAGGAGATTATTTCGAGAAACTGCTCCATAGTCCCTTTCATATAATCGCAAACCTGGGCTGCTAGAAGTAGTCTTGTTCCAATTTTGTCATCAAGTTGTTCACTGGAAAGGAAAATTATTCATAATTTTCCACCTAAGTGACATTTTGGGGGTCAACTACACTCTTCTTGATAGCTTACTTTCGTTTGAAAGGCCACGGAGCTTTGTAAAGTAAAACACTGGAACATGTTGTACATTTCCAAGTGGGGGAAATCCCAGCAGATTAAACAAATTCATCTGTGCCACATTATAAATATCCCTTCTCTCTTCATTCCTGTCAGTTAACTGATTAGTAAAATTTTACACTAAAATATGTTTATATATTCCTTTATAACTTTCTGAATTTATAAATATTGTTCAAAATGAGACCCTCCATGTACTTATAACGCTGTGATACCATTCTACAAATTGACTGGCAGGTTTAAAACTGAATATTCCTCTTAACACGAGAGAAAGTTTNTATTCCTCTTAATACGAGAGAAAGTTTGAGGTAACTGACTTTTGGGCAACACTTCTCAACTATACAGGCTATTTGGCATTGCGGTGCGGATATGACGGACTGATTGGGAAGTACTGTACATGAGAAGAAGTGGTTGTGTTGTATTTGAAGATATAATCCAGCATTTCCACGACTTTGTGCAACTTTCTACTTTTCTGTTATTATTACTACACATAAAAAGGTAAAGCTGTCCCTGTGCTTAACTAACTAAGCACTATGCCATGAGGGCGTATGGGGGAGTGGATGTACAGATCCATATTTCCTTGATCTCGGCACTAATTGGAGGTAAGTGGTCAGCCTCACTCCCCGGCCGCTTTACTTCCGGGGAAAGAACCTCTGGTACCCATTAGATTGGAGGTTAGGTAGATTCCAGAGCTGGTATGCAGGACATGGAGAAAAGAAAGTTCTTGACCCGACCGGGACTCGAACTGCGACCCCTCAGTCGTCCAGCCCTTAGCCAGTCGCTATACCGGGTCATATTACTATGCATGCTTTAGTTAAACTTATTTCAATTATCATGTTCGCATGTCAATATATGAAAAATTATATATTGATTTAGGTACTGAAGATCGTAAACGTATAGGTGTCAATAAACTGTGTATTTAATTAATCAAAAACAGAAAAATAATGTAAATCCTCAATAATCCGGTTACAGTTAATAGGGATGTCGAATAATCCGGATTGAAACATAAAAAAAAAATGCTGTGCACAGTTGAATGCACACCTTAAAAGACACGGGGCATTTGAAGTGGCGAATGAGTTGCTTGTCTGTTCTGAAAAAAATAAAATTGTCAGTTTCTTCAAGCCTATATTATTAAGTCCAAAAACAAGTACAAATTCTGAATATTTTATCGTTGAATAAATGTAATGTCTTTTTATGGGTTTTAAAAAAAGGTTCTGCAGTGATATTTTGTTATTTACATTCATCAACACTATTTATATAATTAATTTTTACATTTATTTGCGTTCTAAGTTT